GAGGTCACGGGGCAGACCCAAGTGCCACGAGTCGACTGAGACAACTGGCTGATGCACCACCTATGCCCCTTACTGTGCCAACTTGATGTGCTTTAGCCACCCGGCGCTCCGCTCATTGTTGTGAGCGTCGCTCCTTCGCCCTGCATTGTTGGCAGGCGACTGCCTTGGGATGAGCTGCGTAGACTCGTCCTAAGCCATCAGATTCACCGTCAGCAGCACGTCGCTTCCATTTTTTTTCGCAGTCCATGTATAGTAGGAGGGAACTTAATGGTAGAGCAGGTTGGCAGCAAATGGGTCACTTGGGCACGAAACAAAGAACGCCACAAAGGTGGTATCTTGTGGAGCCAGGGCCTGTGTTTGGGCATTTCCTTTGGTGACGTAGATGCGTTGGCCATTTTGGAGGTGAAGTGCCAAATGGACGACTGTGGGGGAACGGTCATGGATGGGGAAGCCAAGAATTCTGCAAATGGCCTCATTGTTGCTGATGTATGTCCCTTGGAAAAAAAAGTTTGAGTTCATGCACACTTTGCCCCTCTGTTTTGTAAGGCAAAGACAGCCATGTCAGAGCCTTTGTTGATGTATTGGCAAACATATCTGATGGCTTTTTTTAGAATAGCAGAATTTCACCTTAAAGTGGGCCTGGAAGATCTTGCACAGGGCAGTAGGGAATGATCCACCGGTTATGAACCTTAATTAGCGAGTTAGTGGCAGGTCTGAGCGGTGTTTGAATTCCACTATGCTCAGGATTTCTGCAACGATATAGAGGATAGCCATCATGGGCCGACTGAGCGTCTTGCAAGTAGTTCCATGGATACCTCTTGGTACACCTGTGGTCTTGCATACATGGCGCATTTGGATGGAACTGGGCACATTCGGCCATGGACCATTTGGTTGCAGACCACGTAGAAAAAGGGCAGGATCTTGATGGGGGTGAGGTAGCTCAGCACTGATAAATGTGTCAGTGTGACTTGCATTGTTTCCCTCTTCCATAGCGAAATGTGAGCATGAGGAAGACGACGTTTGTGCCACCCAATGGTGTGCAAGTTACTGCTTGTCTATCCAAAGACGCCGCCTTCGTTGGTCGTAATAAGCATCATGAGGTCATAAACTTTGAGTTTTAAGACCCTCACTAAGATGTCATGTCTGTCTGGTGGCTTTTGGATTGGATAAAGGTAAACCTGGATCTCCTTTCATTTGGGATTGCAAGTGAAGGTGATGAAGAGATGGAGGGTGGCATATTGACTGATGTCATGGCATCCTGAGTCTTCTCATGCATGTATCTTGGTGGAGCTGTGAAGAATGAAGGCACAATAACTAATCAGCCCACATTGTGACCGTTTGCAACTCCTTTGGCATCGATGGCGTCCCAGAGATGAGCATACTGCTCACACACAGGCGATTTAGATTCAGTTGAAGGTAAAGGCACTCACTCTCAATGTTGGCATACTCATCGACAACATACTGGTGAAAGAGGTTGGCGCACCATAATGTGGTTCCTCCTCTGTCATAACCACGAGGGAATAGAAGTTTTTTTAGAGGAGACAGTTTTGTGAGGATGTCTTTGTCCTGCAGCTTTGTAATTGGAGGAATCTTGACGTGGTACCCATCTTGGTCTTGCGACAGGAAAATGTGTTATTGTAGGGCATCGAATGGTCTGTTAGTTTCAGGAAATTGTGCGATGGTTTTCTTGGTATGGAAGAACAATGTCTCTCTCACAATGTTCCTCACCCACTGTAAGAAAGCAAGGTCAACAATATTTGGGGCATTGAACCTCCCAGCATGCTCCTCGCTTTGGTGGAAAGTAAAGGTGCGGTACGGCAAAATTTAAATGGGTGATGTTCCCACGAATGTAACAAAACGATAGACGAAATGCAATGGGCTGTAACTAAGAAAGTCCAACGTATTTAGCAGTATAACATATTAATCAGCATCGCAGTACTACGTATCAGTAAATAGCGTGACGTGCGCAATCGAAACAATAGAAATGCATTGAAGAAATAATCTGAAATAAGTGTACATTAAAGAGCAGCAGTATGCACAGGTGAGTTGAGAAGCAGGCTACAGTCTAGATTATAGACTGTCAGTACACCGACTCAATGACATAAGCATTGCTACAGTCGACATAAAAAGCTGGCAATACGGTCAGCAGCTGAAAAAGCAGGAGACAGTCGACATGAAAGGCTGGCAGTACACTGAGTGAGGTAAAGAAGCAGGCAACAGATTATAGACTGGCATACACTCAATGCCCAAAAGCCAAATTAGCAGTGTAGATAATAGAGTGCCAGTGCACTGACGTTAATTAATGAGCAGGCAGCAGGCAACAGCACAGACTGGCAGTACACCGTCGCAGCGTCATAAAAACATAGCTAAAAAAGAAAATATTTAGCAACCAAATAATGAAATATTGGTTTTCTGCACACAACCATTATTATTGTAATATTTGCCAACTTATTTGTTTCATAATAGTCAACAATAAACCTGAGTTCTTAGCGAAAGATTCAATAAAATTGTACTTTCCATTGCTGTGGTGAGGCCTAGTCCCGTGCAGAGCCCGCGGCCTCGCCTAGATTGCCCAGCCGGAGGTGGTGACACATTGCCAGGCTGGGGGCTGGGCCGCTCTCCCCACCCGCGCTGCAATAATGCTAAGCGCTCTAATATTAATATCTCGGGACTTTATAGCAGTAACTGCACGCATTGGGGTGGGGGGGGGACATAAGACTGAATCATGAACCTCAGCATTGTGTGTATATTTTTTAACCATTGTTAACGCGAATGAACTTTTTAGCGGTCGTTTGTGCGTTGCTAGGGGCGCAATTGCGTGCTTTGTCCCGCGGCGGGCGCCAAAAATAAATAAATAACGACATATCGCACAATATCGCTAAACTAATTTAAAGGTGACGGATGTGAAAAATGAATAGTGCTTGCCAACCGTGGGGCTTACGGCGTGGTACCTGGCAACAATTGTTTTTATGTAAACCCCACCGTTAGAGACAAATCCCTCGCAAGCACGTGAACACAGACAAAAAATGATATTTATATATAACGCACTACTTTAACGATCTGTGATGAACGCTGCACTGTCGTTTTCATGCTTATTACAAATGCGTCGCTCGTGTGTAATTTTTTTCGTGACTTTCCTGGCCAAAGGCCGTAAATGGTTGTGAGGTGCACCGCAGGCGGTCCGGCTTGCTTCAGCCCATGGTTGTGAACATCCAGACGTTAATCGGCAAGGACCATTTCTTGTTCTAGTTCGCCAACATATAAGACGTCATGCAAAATTACAATGAGTGTTGTTGTGGAGAATGTATCTACTAGATGTGCTCTGCCTTGTAATCGAATACAAATGTGTACCAAAAATGCATTTCAAATGTGCTCTTAAAATTACCTCCTTGCTATGAAGCAGATCAGCAGACACGACATCTTTCATTTATCGATCTCTCCACAAAACAAAGGAATGTTTTACACAAACTATAACTAGCACAGCCTTCTGAGAGTGCATCATTGATTTAGTGCAAGGCACCTGTGGACCCTTATTGGTGCACAGCGTCTCAACAGCAGCTTGCTTCAACCGATGGTTACGAACATCCAGACGTTAATCAGCAAGGAGCATTTCTAGTCCTAGTTAGACAAAATCTACGTCAACACGTAATACTAAATTATAATTCGTGTTGTAGAGAATGTATCTCCTCTACGTGTAACTTTTAAGTGGTATGCCTTGTAACTGATGAATGATCCGAGTGTGCTCCCTATTGCAAAGACAATGAGTTGCTCCAGAGGCAGACGCTTCCTGAAAACACAAAAATACCCTTTGACCTGTATCACAAGAACAACGGGTCTCACCCGAGGTTACTTCCAAAACACACACTTTGTCCTAACATCACTTATTCAGTGTTTGGCCCTTATAGACAAACTGTTACATGTACGCACACAATCAGACAAGTATTCATTATAAATTATTGAGCCATTTTAACAAAATTTTATTGCTGCACTGAAATATACTGCATCAGGTTACATCGCATTAACAAGATATTTGAAAAAATACGCACCGTCTGCTTAACAGTGTATGTACAACAAACTATTGCGCCATTCAAAACGAGAAGGCCATTGCATGCTGACGTCTGGGTCAAAATTTAGCAAATTCTAAACATTACCTACAAATTCCACAATTAAGATGCCACATCAACCGTCGCCCCCTACTGACAGGCTCTTGTCCATATGCAGAACGGTGCAGGGCCACCACCTTGTGCCATACAGGGGCAGCTGCTACTTGGGGATGCTCTTCGAGTGTCTGAAACGAGATACGATACAAAACTCCGAATTGCCAGAGGCGATTAATCAAGCACCATATAAATGCAATCATTAGAACATAGTGAATGCTTGGGAGCCTATTGGCTCTCGGTCCTGGTTAGAGATGTACCCAACCCACAGGTCCACGAAGACTGGCCGCTCTTACCCTGCAGCTGGAACCTAGGAATTGAGTGTTCAACTTCACATTCTTGTCATTAAAGGCCAGTGACAAAGGTGCATCTATTGGAGCGACATCATCTCAAGCTTACACATCTACCGGCTCTCCATTTGACTTTGTATTGTCTCGGAGGAAGTCCACCCACACCTCCACTTCCACAAACTGCTGGGAGTTGCCTCGCTCTGCCTCACAGTCAGAATTCTCCTCCTGCTTCACGTTGTCTCCATGGATGTGAAGGTCCGATTTTGGAGTTGAATCGCCATCTTCACATTTTATTTTCACTTTTTCGCTCTTCACCATCACTTCTTCGCATTTCACCTTCACCTCTTCATATTTCACCTCGATACCTTTAAAAGTGTACAAGCTGGGATTTTCTTCCGGTTCTTGTTTCATGAGGGATGGGCTCATTGCGACACTTTGACTTTCACAAGCTGATTTCAGACTCCACTCCTTGTGGATCTTCTGAGGCGTGTGTGATTTCTGGTGTCTTTGAAGATGTCGTGAAAGTGTAAACGCCTTCCCGCACAAAGTGCACCTGAAGGGTTTCTCTCCCGTGTGTGTTCTCTGGTGTACTACAAGAGCAGATGAATGTTTAAACGCCTTCCCACACACACTGCATCTGAAGGGTTTATCTCCCGTATGTGTTCTCTGGTGTATTACAAGAGTAGATGAACGTGCAAACGCCTTCCCACACACACTGCACTTGAAGGGTTTCTCTCCCGTGTGTGTTCTCTGGTGTTCTACAAGAGTATATGACAGCGCAAACGCTTTTCCACACATACTGCACCTGAAGGGTTTCTCTCCCGTGTGTGTTCTCTGGTGTGCTAAAAGAGTAGACGACTGTGAAAACGCCTTCCCACACTCACTGCACTTGAAGGGTTTCTCTCCTGTGTGTGTTCTCTGGTGTGCTACAAGAGGAGATGAAAGTAAAAACGCCTTTCCACATACACTGCACTTGAAGGGTTTCTCTCCCGTGTGTGTTCTCTGGTGTTCTACAAGAGTATATGAACGTGCAAACGCCTTTCCACACACACTGCACTTGAAGGGTTTCTCTCCCGTGTGTGTTTTCTGGTGTTTTACGAGAGTAGATGATTGTGCAAACGTTTTCCCACACACATTGCACTTGAAGGGTTTCTCTCCCGTGTGTGTTCTCTGGTGTGCCACAAGAGGAGATGACTGTGCAAACGCCTTCCCACACACACTGCACTTGAAGGGTTTCTCTCCTGTGTGTGTTCTCTGGTGTTCTACAAGAGCAGATGAACATGCAAACGCCTTCCCACACACACTGCACTTGAAGGGTTTCTCTCCTGTGTGTGTTCTCTGGTGTTTTTTCAGAGCAGATGACTGTGCAAACGCCTTCCCACAAACACTGCACTTGAAGGGTTTCTCTCCTGTGTGAGTTCTATGGTGCTGTGTAAAATGTTCAGTACGATCTGTGCTGTATGTACACCGGTTGCATTGTTGCCTTTTTTCACCAAGCTGCGCCGAGTGCCTTTGCTCCATCAGACCAATTCTGCAGAGGAAGTGACAGCTGCAGACAGAAAAAAAGAATATCCACACCATCTACACATCAGTATCGATGCACAGAGGAATGCATATATACACAGTAACACATGACTTACATGTCTATACTTATTCATATATTCATGATATAGTGAAAAAGTGTCTCAAATTCATCACACGGGCTGTTATGGCACACAATGAGAGGGCAAATGGTTATAAACGTGCCTGGAAGCCCTAGTATCTTCAAAATGAATGTTAACCCAAAACTCCGAGCACACAATTTCGGCTGTCTGGCTTCAAAAGGAATATTTATGAAAGCTAAATTCAGCTGACATAGCAAATGAATAAATACATAAATTAATGTTCAATCACAACTTAGAGGTGTGAAGCCAGGCAGAGATGTCCTTGAATGCTAGGATGAACAGTTCTGACTTCAGCTGCACGTGTGCTGTGATAACTTCCTGACTCCATTCTTACAAAGAGTTCCAGAGGAAAACAAAAATAAACTACTGTTTTGATATAACCTCCTTGCTCAATAGAGCTAATAGACTTTACTGCAAATACAAACTTGACACTGTCACACACTCAGAGGTGGAGCCAGGATTTTCAGGTCGAGGGGCGCAAACCCCTCCAGCAATAACAAAATGATAGGAGTTGTTAGTAAGGAGTTGTTAGTAAGGAGTTGTTAGTAAGTAAGGACTTGTCCCTTGCTTTTTATTCGACGCGTGTGATCGGCATCGCGCTCGCTGAAGGTGTTTGCCTTCAGGGAAGTCGTGTACTGTATACGCAACTGTGCACAATTCTGCGAGTCGCTTGTAACTGCTTTGCCGTTACTTATTGCCAATTATGGACTCGGACTGTTGTCCTCTCATAAAGTCCCTGGCACGTAATAATATGCCACACGGTGGCAGTGGGAGTCGCAAAATGCTGATTTATCTATATCTAAAAAAGAGAAATTTGTGAATGTTTCTGTTCAAAATGTTTAGCATACTTCCCAACATGTAACACACTTGAAATTTGGCATGTGGGTAGGTTCCATACTGTACACAATGTATTAAGTATAAAAATAGACTTTTGTATTTTAAGGGGGGGGGGGGGAGAAATGACCATGAAATGTGTGGCGTCAACCCGCAACCCACCTGAGTTAAGCGCTCTGCAATGCTTACCCCTACCATATGGCTCTTCGCGCGCCGTACTTCTAGAGCTGTTAACAGCGTGCCGGGAGATTTTAGGTGGCGCGTCGCTCCTGGCCGATGAAGCCATTGGCTTCTCGGAGTTTCAATACATATCCGTGCGAAGAACGGGTACAACTGCTATCTTGAATATAAAGCAGAAATAACATGTTTGTTTGTGTTAAGCAGCAAAAACTCTCCAACGCTGAGCTCTGGCGTCATGAAATTTGCACAGCTTATGCTGTCTGGAATTTCTCAGTGAACGCGACGATTTTCAGCTTGCCACGTCATCCCTTTCCCGAGATGCCAAAGTCGACATTATGTAGAAGTGGGTTATGGTTAAATTCCCTTCAGTGAAAAACATACGATTTAGTTAAATTGATTTGATTCAGCTTTTTTCTTTCTTGCAAGCATCGATTTTTTTCAGGGTTTTTCAGTTAAATAAGGGAATATGAAATTAATCCAAGACAAGAATCCAAGACCCGGGCGAAGGCCGGTAGCGAAGCTAGTTACTAATAAACCCCAATGATCCTATCAAAATTAGGGATTTCGATCGGATCGTTGGGGGGGCACGTGCCACCCCACCCCCACTGGCTCCGCCACTGTCACACACTGGCATGGTTCACAGGTGGTGGTGTGTCCAGACCCACGCCTGGCCACCTTCACCTGCTCAGTATTAATGCTTCCTCACTCCAAGTAATTCATTGAGGATCAATCAACACAGCCGACGCTGCGTGTCTCTCTCTCTCCCCCCGTGGTCGCGTGGATTTCCCTCCAGGTGTCTAGAGTGAACACCTCCACGCGTCTAGAGTGAACACCTCCACGCGTCTAGAGTGAACACCTCCACGCGTCTAGAGTGAACACCGCCACGCGTCTAGAGTGAACACCGCCACGCGTCTAGAGTGAACACCACCACGCGTCTAGAGTGAACACCGCCACGCGTCTAGAGTGAACACCGCCACGCGTCTAGAGTGAACACCGCCACGCTGTTGACAAGCCCCACCTTGTTGTTGTGGGCAGGTCGCTTCTGAAAACAAGAGCGGTATAGCAGCTCAACGAGGGCGTGGCCTGGTAAAAAATGAAAAAAACTGTGAATATTTAAAATAAAACAAAGTTACAAAGTAGCGAGCCAAGTGAAGAGAAATTTAAACTTACGCAAGATACTCTTTGGTTCTTTTGGTAAAGTCACATAGAAAGAAAAGAATAATTAAATAATAGCATGTGACGTTTCGATTGCAACACAAGCAATCATCATCTCCATATATATAAAAGGGAAATTTGTGAATGTGTCCGTTTAAAATGTTTAGCGTACCTCCCGACATGCAACAAACTTGACATTTGCCATGTGGGTACTTTCCAGACTGTACACCATGCAATGCACATATATTTTTTGCACGGCAAGTGAGCTGTGATGTCAAATCTGTCACGTGACCCGCGCATGTGGCAGTGTAACGCATTGTAGTGTAGCGGTGAACGCGCTGCGCTACGAACCCGGCGACCCGAGTTCGATTCCCACTCATGGGCACCACCGGTGACGGTTATTTTAACCGGTCTTGGGCCTCCCCTAGGTCGACTCAGCCTCAAACGAGTAACTGGTGTGGTGTGTGAACATCGCCACTGGGGAGACAAAGGCGGCCGGGCGTGGTGAATCCAAGTCCCGGGCAAAGCCGGGTAGTATAAAGCTAGTCAGGTACAAGTGAAAGAGGGAACAAACCTAGTACACTTAGAAATACAATACAATACAACACAGAGAGTCGGCTAACATAACAGTCAACACCACACCTGGTTGATTACGTCCTTACACAGATTGATAAATTTGAGAGAGACAGAACACAGACACGGAGACACACAGACACATAAGCAGAGAGAGATGACAGAGAGACACAGAGACAGACACACATAGACACACAGAGAGAGATGACACAGAGAAACAACGCCGCTGTGTCGAGGCCTTAAATAGAGAGCGGGGCAGAGAGAGAGAAATTAACAAGTCAATGCAAGGCCGTAGCCATGGAGTCAACATGGGGGGGGGGGGATGAGAGAGGTTTGGTGACTGCAGGAATTAAAAGCGCGACAACACGAGGACACAGAGAGAGAGAGAGAAAGCACACTTAATCAAACAGAGTAAAATTTGGAAATGTAATGCAATGCAACACAGAGAGTCGGTCTACACACAATTAACGCATAGCCTGGTTGATTACGTTCTTCCAAAGATTGCTAAATTAAGCGAGAGAATTGAAGCAAACGCGATCAGGCGAGGGCAGGAGGCAAGGCCCCGCGTTGTAAAGTTCCAACCTGGACATCGCTTCCATGCTCGCAGCTACTCAGTTGACATCCCTACGAGAGAGAGCGAGGCTCTACCTCAATAAACAACAACAACCACCACAACAACCACAACCGCGATGAGAATTTCTCACCTCGGATTTCAGTGCACGAGCGGAGCGACAACTTCCTGTTACCTCGTGACGTCACGCGGCAGCAGGGTACATGACGTCACTTGCAGGGTACAAGACACTACCCTCCCACGAGCGGCTCTGTAACTTAAATAAATTATGTTAATTAATCCGGCCCCTACGTGGAGGGATGGGGCGCGGATGCTGAACCCGTCGCAATGAACTCGCGAAGGCTTTTACGAACACATTATGTTAATGAGCCACCAGTCACCGGGCGAAGGTTTGCCCAAATAAGGATTGGCACTGGGACAAATATTGGCAGCGGCCGAGCGGAGGTGGCGTCACGCTCAAGAACGCGGTGGACGGGGGTGGGTGACATGACGTCACTAGCGAGGCCCACCGCCCCCTGGTGTTTGACGCCGATGAGGTAATGCTGAGCGGTGACGTCTGAGAGCGGGTTCAGAGTTCAAGTTTGTTGACAGAAGGGGAGTGGTAGTGACGTGGTGAGCGCTGCGCTCCGCACCCGACCAGCCGAGTTCCATTCCCGCTCGTGGCCAACACCGCCAGTGACGATTTTCTGAACCGGTCCTGAGCCTCCCCTACGTCGGCTCGGCCTCAAACGAGTACCCGGTGCGGTGTGTAAACATCGCCACTAGGGAGACAAAGGCGGCCGGGCGTGGTGCTGGCCACCAACCCGCTCGTGTGCCGTTCCACCCTTAATAGGTACTCGCTAACAGCACTTTCCCCTACAGTCTAAGGCTATACAGGGCATCTTTGTCTTTATGTTAGGTGCTCACTAACAACACTTGCCATGACATTCTGTGCAGGCTATACGGGGGATCTTTGTCTTTGTGTTGGGAGCAAGTTTGAGTGCCGTGTAGCCGTGGGAGCTGAACGGGCGCGTGCTACTGCTGACAGTCGTTGACTACGGTTGGACAGACGCTGATAGACACACAGACAAGACAGGCGGACAGACAGACAAGAGGAACAGAGGCAGAAACGACAGACAGAGAGACAGGCAGAGAGAGAGACACAGAGGCGAACAGAGACAGACGGACAGAGAGATGTTGAACACGCTTAACTCTTCTTTGGTTCTTTCGGTAAAGTCACGTATAATGAGAATAAAATAATAAATTGATAAAATAACACAATAAAATTCTCACGACGTTTCGGCCACAACACAAGCGGCCTTCTTCAGGTGAAGGGACGAGACTGTCTGGAGGACAGCGCTGGAGCGAACACAGCCAAGCTCAGACCGCGACCTTTAAGCTGTGAGAAGAAACAGAGCGCCTTGACAAAGGAATTAGCATAGAATTTAGCATTGAAATAGCTGAGCGATTAGCTTGACTGGTCACAGAAATGGCTATGGTAAAGTCAAAGCATACACATTCACAGAATCACCTAGTACAAATCAAACAGGAGAATTTAGCATTGAAAAAACTGAGGGATTAGCTTGTGACTGGTGATAGTAGTTATGTTAAAGTCAAAGCCTACACATCTAGAGGCACCTAGTACAAATCAAACAGGAGAATTTAGCATTGAAATAACTGAGTGATTAGCTTGTGACTGGTCACAGAAATGGCTATGTTAAAGTCAAAGCCTACACATCTGAGCTATTAACAGTAACTGGGTATACACTACACTATATAATGAATACTATATAGTAAACCAATAAAAAACTAAAATATAAATTACCTCACTGTTATCAATAAACTATATATTCTCCAATCAGCTAAGCTACCAACAATAAGTCGTTATATATCACAATGCTATATGGCGAAAAAATGGGTGGATTCTTACCCTATATTTTAGTTTTTTATTGGTTTACTATATAGTATTCATTATATAGTGTAGTATATACCCAGTTACTGTTAATAGCTCAGATGTGTAGGCTTTGACTTTAACATAGCCATTTCTGTGACCAGTCACAAGCTAATCACTCAGCTATTTCAATGCAAAATTCTATGCTAATTCCTTTGTCAAGGCGCTCTGTTTCTTCTCACACAGCTTAAAGGTCCGCGGTCTGAGCTTAGCTGTGTTCGCTCCAGCGCTGTCCTCCAGACAGTCTCGTCTCTTCACCTGATGAAGGCCGCTTGTGTTGTGGCCAAAACGTCGTGAGAATTTTATTGTGTTATTTTATTTTATCAATTTATTATTTTATTCTCATTCTACGTGACTTTACCGAAAGAACCAAAGAAGATGAATCCTTGCAGTCACAAAAGCTTTAAATCGAAATGTCGAACACACTTAACTCGCTCCATTGAAAGAGATTCCTCGATCTTTGCCCATCCCCGGTAGTCGTTCTAGTTTCTATTTATTTCATTGTGTGTGGTGTGTACGTGTAAGCAATGTGGGATATCGATGTACACAGCTATGAACAAGATCAGCAGACAAGACGTCTTTCAGACTCTTTGGTTCTGTCGGTAAAGTCACGTAGGTAGAAAAAAAGAAAATAAATCACGACGTTTCCATCGCAACACGAGCAGTCGTCCTCAGGCGAAAACACCCAAATCAATTTATAACATTTTTGACATGCGCTTTTCTGGATTTTGTTGTTGTTATTCCGTCTCTCACTGTTCAAATAAAGCTACCATCAAAATTATTGACTGATCATTTCTTTGTCAGTGGGCCAACGTATATAATCAGCAGGGGATCAAATACTTTTTTCCCTTACTGTATGTATAAGTTACTTACAAAACAGACAAGTATTCATTCAAAATTATTGACAGGCATATTAACAAAATTTTATTACTGCACTGAAATATACTGCATCATGTTACATCGTATTAACAAGATATTTTAAAAAATACGCACGGTCTGCTTAACAGTGTATGTACAACAAACTATTGCGCCATTCAAAACGAGGCCATTGCATGTTGACGTCTGGGTGAAAATTGAGCAAATTCTAAACATTACCTACAAACTCCACAACTGAGATGCCACATCAACCATAGCTCCCTACTGATAGGTTCTTGTCCACATGCAGGCCGGTGCAAGGCCACCAACTTATGCCACACAGGGGCAGCTGTGTTTGAGACGAGATACGATACAAAACTCCAGATTTCTGAGGCGATTAAGCAAGCACTATATAAATGCAATTATGATAACATAGCGAATGCTTGGGAGCTTATTGGCTCTCGCTCCTGGTTAGAGATCTACCCAACCCACAGGTCCACAAAGACTTGTCGCTCTTACCCTGCAGGTTTAACATAGGAATTGAGTGTTCAACTTCACATTCTTGTCATTAAAGGCCAGTGACAAAGGTGGATCTATTGGAGCGACATCGTCTCAAGCTTACACATCTACTGGGTCTGCATTTGACTTTATATTGTCTCGAAGGAAGTCCACCCACACCTCCACTTCCACAAACTGCTGGGAGTTGCCTCGCTCTGCCTCACAGTCAGAATTCTCCTCCTGCTTCACGTTGCCTCCATCGATGTGAAGGTCCGATTTTTGAGTTGAATCTTCATCTTCACATTTTACCTTCACTTCTTCGCTCTTCACCATCACTTCTTCATATTTCACCTTCACCTCTTCATATTTCACCTCGATACCCTTAAAAGTGTCCAAGCTGGGATTTTCTTCCTGTTCTTGTTTCATGAGGGATGGGCACATTGCGACACTTTGACTTTCACAAGCTGATTTCAGACTCCACTCCTTGTGGATCTTCTGATGCTTGTGTGTTCTCTGGTGTCTTCGAAGATTTGGTGACTGTGCAAACGCTATCCCGCACGGAGTGCACTTGAAGGGGTTCTCTCCCGTGTGTGTTCTCTGGTGTACTACAAGAGTAGATAACTGTGCAAACGCCTTGCCACACACACTGCACTTAAAGGGTTTCTCTCCCGTGTGTGTTCTCTGGTGTGTTACACGAGCAGATGAATATGCAAACGCTTTCCCACACACACTGCACTTAAAGGGTTTCTCTCCCGTGTGTGTTCTCTGGTGTGTTACGTGAGCAGATGAATGTGCAAACGCTTTCCCACACAAACTGCACTTAAAGGGTTTCTCTCCCGTGTGTGTTCTCTGGTGTGTTACAAGAGTAGATGAATCTGAAAACACCTTCCCGCACAGAGTGCACTTGAAGGGGTTATCTGCTGTGTGTGTTCTCTGGTGTTTTATAAGAGTATATGGATGTGAAAATGCCTTCCCACACACATTGCACCTGCAGGGTTTCTCTCCCGTGTGTGTTCTTTGGTGTATTACAAGTGTAGATGAAAGTGCAAACGCCTTCGCACACACACTGCACTTGAAGGGCTTATCTCCTGTGTGTGTTCTCTGGTGTGTTACAAGATGACATGAATCTGAAAACGCCTTCCCGCACACAGTGCACCTGAAGGGTTTCTCTCCCGTGTGTGTTCTCTGGTGTGTTATAAGAGCAGATGACTGTGCAAATGCCTTCATACACACAGTGCACTTGAAGGGTTTCTCTCCCGTGTGTGTTCTCTGGTGTACTATAAGAGAAGATAACTGTGCAAACGCCTTCCCACACACACTGCACTTGAAGGGTTTCTCTCCCGTGTGTGTTCTCTGGTGTGCTACAAGAGTATATGACCGTGCAAACGCCTTCCCACACACACTGCACTTGAAGAGTTTCTCTCCCGTGTGTGTTCTCTGGTGTGTTACAAGAGCAGATGACTGTGAAAACGCCTTCCCACACACACTGCAACTGAAGGGTTTCTCTCCCGTGTGAGTTCTCCGGTGCAAGATCATATTTGCAGTACGATCCGTGCTGTATGCACACTGGTCGCATTGTTGCCTTGTCGTACCGAGCTGCGCCGAGTGCCTTTGCTCCATCAGACCAATTCTGCAGAGGAAGCGCCAGCTGCAGACAGAAAAAAAGAATATCCAGACCATCTACACGTCAGTATCGAGGCACAGAGGAATGCATATATACAGTCACACGTGACTTACACGTCTATACTTATTCATATATTCATGATATAGTGAAAAAGTGTCTCAAATTCATCACACGGGCTGTTATGGCACACAATGAGAGGGCAAATGTCACAAACATGCCTGGAAGCCCTAGTGTCTTCAAAATGAATGTTAACCCAAAACTCCAAGCACACAATTTCGGCTGTCTGGCTTCAAAAGGAGTATTTATGAAAGCTAAATTCAGCTGACATAGCAAAGGGTGTTGAAAATAATACTATTTATGTTATGCAGAAATGCATAAATTAATGTTCAATCGCAACTTAGATGTATGAAGCCAGGCACAGATGTCCTAGAATGCTGGGATGAACAGTTCCGACTTCAGCTGCACGTGTGCTGTGATAACTTCCTAACTCCATTCTTACAAAGAGTTCCAGAGGAAAAAAAAATAAACTACTGTTTTGATCTCACCTCCTTGCTCAATAGAGTTAATAGACTTTACTGCAAATACAAACTTGACACTGTCACACACTCAGAGGTGGAGCCAGGATTTTCAGGTAGGGGGGGGGGCAACCCTCCAGCAATGAAAAATGATAGGAGGTGTTAGTAAGTAAGGAGTTGTTAGTTGTTCGACGCGTGTGATCGGCATCGCGCTCGCTGAAGGTGTTTGCCTTCAGGGAAGTCGTGTACTGTATACGCAACTGCGCACACTTCTGTGAGTCGCTTGTAACTGCTTTGCCGTTACTTATTGCCAATTATGGACTCGGACTATTGTCCTCTCATAGAGTCCCTGGCACGTAATAATATGCCACAAGGTGGCAGTGGGGGTCGCAAAATGCTGATTTATCTATACAGTGAAACCTTGGATTGCGAGCATAATTCGTTCCGGAAACATGCTCGTAATCCAAAGCACTCGTACATCAAAGCGAATTTCCCCATAAGAAATAATGGAAACTGAGATGATTCGTTCCACAACCCAAAAAAATATTTTAAAAAAGTTAATACAAAATACTCTACCTTTTTATATTTGTATTTAAATGTAATATAAAGTAATCAAATGTATTAATTAAATTTAATCGTGGCTGGTGTGAGGGAGACGAGAGAGAGGAGGAGGGTTATTGTGTAGGACGACTTTCACTGTCAGTAACGGAATCACTGCCATCTGTTGGCTCACTGGAATCTTTTTTCTTTTTATGCGACTTTAACAAGGAAGCTATCCAATGACACTTGCTTTTGCCTCCTTTTGAGGATTTCGCGGAAATGTGACATTGCATTGTCGTTAAACAGATTCATCGCTCGCACTGCTACAGCCTTGTGCAGGTGGTGCTTATCTAAAGAACAGTCACTACACTTGGACACAAAATAAAAAAAAGATGATTTACACACACACACATGGTCACAACACTATACAGTACTGTAGTAAACAGTATACACTCGCACGGATGTTGACTATATGATTGAGGCACGCCAACTGAGACCAAGCATGGGAGATGATTACCCACAATCCCGCAGTGAGAGAGAGAAGAACCATTGGCTCAGTTGTGATCACATGACGCTCGGCAGACAAAGCGTATACTGTACGTACTGCTCGTATTGCAAACCATCGCTCGTTTATCAAATTAATATTTATTTAAAATGTTTGCTCGTCTTGCAAAACACTTGCAGACCAAGTTACTCGCAATCCAAGGTTTCACTGTATATAAGGGAAATTTGTGAATATGTCTCTGTTCGAAATGTTTAGCATACTTCCCGACATGGAACAAACTTGAAATTTTGCATGCATATATTTTGCATGCAAGTGAGCGGTGACATCACAGATGTGATGTCACCGCTCACTGTGATGCCACCCGCATGTGGCAGCGTTACGCAGTGTGCCTGCTGACGTCACGCATTCCCCCCCAAACACTCCGCCTAGGCAGTGTTTTAATCCAAGACAAGAATCCAAGTCCCGGGCGAAGCCGGGTAGTAAAGCAAGTCTATATATAAAAGGGAAATTTGTGGATGTATGTGTGTCTGTTCGAAATGTTTAGCATACTTCCCAACATGCAACATACTTGAAATTTGGCATGTGGGTAGGTTCCATACTGTACACAATGTAATAAGTATAAAAATAGACTTTTGTATTTTAAGGGGGGGGGGGGGGGGGGGAGAAATGACCATGAAATGTGTGGCGTCAACCCGCAACCCACCTGAGTTAAGCGCTCTGCAATGCTTACCCCTACCATATGGCTCTTCGCGTGCCGTACTTCTAGAGCTGTTAACAGCGTGCTGGGAGATTTTAGGTGGCGCTTCGCTCCTGGCCGATGAAGTAATTGGCTTCTTGGAGTTTCAATACATATCCGTGTGAAGAATGGGTACAACTGCTATCTTAAATATAAAGCAGAAATTACATCTGTTTATAGGGGATTTCTTTAAACCAAAGGAAGGAGTGCCATGGGCTCTGCTTTATCCCCTGCTATAGCAAATCTGTATATGGAAAACTTTGAAATAAAAGCACTTGCCTCGAGCACATTAAAACCATATTTTTTGGTTTAGATATGTGGATGACACTTTGGTTGTCTGGCCACATGGTAAAGATACACTTAATGATTTTCTAAATCATCTCAATGCACAAAACCCGGCCATCCAGTTCACCATGGAAATGGAGGTGAATAACATACTCCCGTTCCTAGATATTTTGCTTGGACATGGCCTAAACGGTAAAATAACACAGCGTTTACAGAAAGCAAACGCACACTGATGCCTATCTGAATGCAGATTCGCATCATCACCCAGCTCAGAAATCCTCTCTTATCAAGATGCTCATACATCGGGCTGAAACAATGTCAGATGGTGAAAGTCTAGTGAGAGAGACTGAACACGTTAAAGAAGCACTACGACAGAATGGCTACAATAATGCTCAAATTAACAGAGCACTAAATACCAAATCACGATCGCAAAGCAACACTGCAAAGCAACACTGCTGAAAGTGATCAGATTGTTAAAACAATAAAAATTCCATTTATCTCAGGAGTAACTGACAAATTAGCCCGTGTTTTGCAAAAGCAAAACATTACAGTAAGATTTGGTACAGGACACAAAATTCAAAGACTAGTATCTTGCACTAAAGACAAATTACCTAAATTATCAACAGAAGGTGTATTCATAATAAAGCGAGGGCTTTACCATTCTGGCGAATTGCCCGATGATGCTGGATGTATTTACCAGCGAAACGTCGTACTCAAACTGTAAATGTGGATTCACTCTTCAACACACCGGTGGGCTAAAGTAGTGAACTATGTTTTTTGTCAACGTGACACTTTATTGCTGATTGGCCGTGTCGGGTGGTGGAGGGTTACGACACATGTATAAATAACACAATCTAACCCAAAAACCTTTATTATGAAAAAATTACATCTGTTTGTTCGTGTGAAGCAGCAAAAACTCTCCAAAGCTAAGCTGTGGCATCATGAAATTTGCACAGCTTATGCTGTCTAGAATTTCTAAGTGAATGCCACTATTTTCAGCTTGCCACGTCATTCCCTTCCCGAGTTGCCAAAATCGACATTAAGTATAAGTGGGTTAAGGTTACATTTCCTTCAGTGAAAAACATCTGATTTAGTTAAGTTGATTTGTTTCAGCTTTTTTTCTTTCTTGCAAGTATCAATTTTTCTTCTTTTGGTTCTTTCGGTAAAGTCACGTAGAATGAGAATAAAATAAGAAATTGATAAAAATAAATACACTATAAAATTCTCATGACGTTTCGGCCATTTTATCAATTCATTATTTTATTCTCATTCTCAATTTATTTTATTCTCATTCTACGTGATTTTACCGAAAGAACCAAAAGAAGATGAATCCTTGCAGTCACGAAAGCTTTAAATAGTATCTATTTTTTCAGGGTTTTTCAGTGAAATAAGGAAATATTAAATTAATCCAAGACAAGAATCCAAGTCCCGGGCGAAGCTGGGTAGTGAAGCTAGTTACTAATAAACCCCAATGATCCAATCGAAATTAGGGATTTCGATAGGATCGTTGGGGGGCATGTGCCACCCCCACTGGCTCCGCCAATGTCACACACTGGCATGGTTCACAGGTGGTGGTGTGTCCAGACCCACGCCTGGCCACCTTCACCTGCTCAGTATTAATGCTTCCTCACTCCACCAAGTAATTCATTGAGAATCAATCAACACAGCCGAGGCTGCCTGTCTATGTCTTTCCCCGTGGTCGCGTGGATTTCCTTCCCGATCCCCCGGTTTCCCCTCTACATGTAGAGCGTGAACACCACCACGCGTCTAGAGTGAACACCGCCACGCGTCCAGAGTGAACACCGCCACGCGTCCAGAGTGAACACCACCACGCGTCCAGAGTGAACACTGCCACGCGTCTATAGTGAACACCGCCACGCGTCTAGAGTGAACACCACCACGTGTCTAGAGTGAACACCACCACGCGTCTAGAGTGAACACCGCCACGCGTCTAGAGTGAACACCACCACGTGTCTAGAGTGAACACGACCACGCGTCTAGAGTGAACACCACCACGCGTCCAGAGTGAACACCACCACGCGTCTAGAGTGAACACCACCACGAATCTAGAGTGAACACCACCACGCGTCTAGAGTGAATACCGCCACGCGTCCAGAGTGAACACCGCCACGAATCTAGAGTGAACACCGCCACGCGTCTAAAGTGAACACCGCCACGCGTCCAGAGTGAACACCACCACGCTGTTGACGAGCCTCACCTTGTGTTGTGGGCAGGTCGCTTCTGAAAACAAGAGTGGTATAGCAGCTCAAGCGGGCGTGGCCTGGTAAAAAATGAAAAAAAAACTGTGTGAATATTTAAAATAAAACAAAATTACAAAGTAGCGAGCCAG